GGTGATCCTCGACGTCTCTTTCTGGGATCAGGAAGTTCTTCCGGTGGGGTTTCTGACGGACTTGGGGATTGGTTGGAGCTTTACTCATGTTCCGAGTAGAAACCGTCAAATAAACAAAAAGATTAGAAAGGAAACGATGAAAACCATTCCCACAGATGGAGCCAACTGATGAGGTCTCATAAATTATGGCCCAAGTTCGGTTGTGGACAGGGAGTTGATGAGTTTTATTTAGGTGGTGAGAACTTAGGGATAGCCTAATCGGTAGGGAGAGACATAGGAGTTAAGTGGTTCACCCCCGCCGGCGGACTGAGGTTACATCCACTGCAGTGGAGTCTCTTGCTCCTTGAGCCTGTATATTGATTCTTTTCTGAAGTAAATAGCATTACAAGCGCTAGGCCATTACAAGAAGTTATATTCTAACTCACGCATTCTTGGGTGTTAGAACGCCTCGGAGGGGTTCCCATCAGCTCCTCTTATCTGTTTACTGATTCTGTGGGGACCTTTTGTCATTGTCCTACAAGTAAACCCTGCCAGCTAGTGTTATTGTACCCACTGTGCCTGGGTCGTTATGCACCACCACTCCCCATAGGTGGGTGTGATTATCATAGATTTCAGAGATGGTCCCCTTTTCTTTTGAGACGCGTGGCGTGGTGGGATGCATCTATGGTTAGGGTTTGACTTCTCCCTCTTTGGCTATCTTTCGGCTAGGGCCGGGCCGCAGGTCCTTTTGGTTTTGTCTCTTGATACGGGCTGACTAGGTATACTTCCCTTGGCCTAATAGGCGAAGCAGAATGCTTTGGGCTCTGGGCTCCATGGCCATGACGGCTCATACTTAAAATTCTATCCCAATCATTTGGTAAGCAAAACAAATAGGAATGATGGATAAGTGAATGGATTAATTTTTTTCTTTTAACTCACAAAAATCAATCCCTCCAAAATCGAAAGGAAAGTGAATGAAAAATTAATTATTTATGTTTAGATATATCTTATTTGTCTATATATTATGTATACATAATTTTTTTATATAAAAATACAAAGATAAAATATGTACGTATATATATATATATATTTTTTTTTAAATAAAAAAAAAAAAATTTAAATTAAAAAAATATTTTTTTCATCTTAACTAGGAGTGAAAAATTTCGATTCAACACAATGATGACTCGAACTCAACACGAATTTTATGACATGAATTTGATTATAACTTAACATAAACTTAAAAATGATCTGACACGCGAACAAAAAATATAAAATAATCATAATTTTATTATTCAACATGAATTTGACACGACACGATATGACTCGATTGTCACCTTAATCTTAGCCGGCACAAAAAAAAAATTTAAAAAAATTAATAATTTTTATTTTCCATCCATCCAACCAAATACAAAGGAAAAAAATGTATCATTTATATTTTCCATCATTGAAAGATAAAAAATGTATCATTCCTACTTTACATCCTTGAAAATAGAAAGTATATTTCTTATATTTTTAATCCTTCCTACTTTTCATCCTTCCAACAAAAGAAAAAATAAAAAAACAAAGATAAGAACTGAAGTGAAAGACAAGCAGTGTATTGCAGGAAATAAGGGAGTAGATGTAGTAATAGTACCCTACAAGGAGCGTAGTTGGTGGAACTACAAAATCAGCCCAGAAATTTACTGATAATACTTCTATGACCGCATATAATTAGGCATAAACCCACCTTATAATTTTATTTAACAACCATTTTGGCCATGCATTTCTCTTAAACTTAAATTTAACTTCATGATTGTGTTTCAGTTACAACCTAATCTCTATCATTCGTTACTTGTTTGAAAGAAATGCTGGTCAAATGTCCTCTTCTTCGTCTCTCAAACCATTCAAGGGCTTGTTTGGTTAGAAAAGTACTACACATAGACTTCACCAACCAACTGGTGCGCATCCGAATCAGTCCATAGGAAAATGATTAACATGATGTTCAATGAACCAGACACAAAGGATAAATATTGGTTGAAAAGAATTTGGACGATGGTAACCCTCTGGTTTTTCTTGGTCACCAAGTGTTAACGGTTGAGGGTTATAGGTTTGATTCGTTGAAAATTCTGCACATTATTTCCAAAATGCCCTTCTTGATATTGTTCTATGGGAGAGTTAAACTGGAAATATTGAATGTGGTAAATCATACTAGTGGCAGAAAGTATTTGGTAATTTCAAGGGGTAGATTGTCCCTGAGTGGTCTAAGTGGTCAAGTTCGATATTTTTCACACCACTTAAAAGTCAATCACTCTTATTTTTCATGGAATATATCCTTAAACTAACTCAAACTAACTCAAATTACAATGGCTAGCTCAGAGGTCAAAAAAGTAGTGAAGTCAAAACACTTGTAGCATTAAAAAAACAAAAATTCAAAGAGTAATTAAAGTGATAATAAGAATAAACTATAAATACAGATGTTCTGAATTTAAATTTTGATAATTTTTTATGGTCATAGAATTATTTTTTATAAATATCTTAATTTTAACGTGAATGACCTAATTTTAATCGAATTTAAAAAAAATAAAAATGAGTGAAGGTGCAACAAGACACCCTTGTTAAGGGGAAAAACAAAAAATAGAAAAGTATTTGGTGAAAGGCAAGTGCTAGGGGTTTTTCACTGTGGGACAAAGGGGGCTATAGGTTGACGACAATACGAAGGAGGTCAAATCAGGTAAAATAAACTTTAACAACACTCCACTGTTGAGCTGGGCCAACAGTTGGTGTATCCATTTTTATGATTTTTTAAATGTAAATTATATTTTCATCCCTTGAACTAGAGGCCTAATCTCATTTTGTAATCCTTATTTTTTGAGTTTTCTAATGTTAACCCTTCAAAATATTTGATTTGATTTGATTCACATTGTCCAAAATCAAATTTATGGAGTGATAACACCCGTGTGCCTTTGAATGTTAGAAACAAGTAATTAGATTCAGGTACATAAACACAACAAAACGACGCAAATCTCCATCCAATTTGTTATGAATGTTTGCAATTGAGATGTTTTAAAATCCATCTAGTTCAAGGAACGAAAATATAATTTACATTTAAAAAATCATAATAAAAATAGATACACCAACTTTTGGCCCATCTCAACAGTGGAGTGTTGTTAAAGTTAATTTTACCTGATTTGACCTCCTTCGTATTGTCGTCAGCCTATAACTCCCTTTGTCGCACAGTGAAAATCCCCGAGCCCTTGACCTTCACCAAATACTTTTTTTTTTTTCTCTCTCTCTCTTTTAAAGAGCGGTGTCTTTCACATCTTCACTAATTTCTTTTTTAATTCGATCAAAATTAGATCACCCACTTCAAAACTAAGATATTTATAAAAAATATTCTTTGATCTTAAGAAATTATAAAAATTCGAATTCAGAATATCTGTATTTATAGTTTGTTCTTATTATCACTTGAATTACTTTTTCAATTTTTGTTTTTTTAACGCTACAAGTCCTTATCATCATTGATAGAGGTGTAAGGTGAAAAATGTGCTAGTTCAGGGGGATAATCTGTGAGATAGAGGCATAGTTAAGGGGTCAAAGTTGAATTTTATCTTATTTTGAATTCCACTTCTCAGTTGAGGTATCGGCTTACTTATTCAAGAAACACACCCACCACGTCTATATAAACCTTCGAACTTCTCATGGATCATCACACCCCTAAATAAGCCAACTTACTCCTGCTCCTCTTGATCTTCGATTCTTAAATAGGCCCAAAAATGGCTGCTTCTCATCTTCCATCACCGGTACTTGTCGGTGCTTTTGTGCTTCTAATAAACTGTCTCTGGTTATTTCCTGAAGTCACCATTGCAAAGCATGCAGGGATTACAAGGCACTACAAGTTCAATGTCCGTGTTGCTTCCATGGATTAATACATCATTTTCTAGCTCATGAATGTGTGCCATTGTTCTAAAACACCTTTATTTTTTTTGTTCTCTGCTATTATTGCTTGACAGGTAAGGTTGCAGAATGTGACCAGATTGTGCCAAACAAAAACCATATTGACTGTCAATGGGAAGTTCCCGGGACCTCGCATCATTGCCCGAGAGGGTGATCGTGTGTTGGTCAAGGTGGTTAATCATGTCTCCAACAATGTCAGCTTCCATTGGTATAAATTATCAGCCTATATTTTATACTTACGATACTTTGCCATCATTACAATGCATATATCGAATTTAAATGGTAATAATGATCTATCATGACATATTAAAGAAATTATGATAAATGTTCATTTTCTCATATACTACAGGCATGGTATTAGACAGCTTCAAAGCGGATGGGCCGATGGACCAGCTTACATAACTCAGTGCCCCATTCAAACAGGCCAGACTTATGTGTACAACTTCACCATTGTTGGCCAAAGAGGAACTCTCTTCTGGCATGCACACATCACATGGCTCAGAGCAACCCTCTATGGACCAATTTTCATATTACCCAAGCATAATGTTCCTTACCCTTTTGCTAAACCATACAAGGAAGTCCCTATCATCTTCGGTAACTATTATTCTACACCATTTCCTTAATGTACAGTGTCTTGGTTAAGAAAACTAAAAGTGACAACCTGAAATTAAGTAGTAATATGAAAGATGGTGACTCATTTTACAGGAGAATGGTGGAACGCTAATACAGAGGCAGTTATTAACCAGGCGCTTCAAACTGGCGCTGGTCCGAATGTCTCTGATGCATACACCATTAATGGACAACCTGGACCATTGTACAACTGTTCTGCAAATGGTATTCTCTGTCACAACCCGAGAAACTAAATGCAATTGCATGGTTTTCTTGCTCACCACCTATGATCTGTATGATGTTTTGCAGAAACATTCAAGCTAAAAGTGAAGCCCGGAAAGACTTATCTCCTTCGTTTGATCAATGCTGCACTCAATGACGAGCTCTTTTTCACTGTAGCTAATCACACACTCACCATTGTTGAAGCTGATGCAGTTTATACCAAGCCATTTCAAACCGATATTCTCCTCATAGCTCCAGGGCAGACTACCAATGTTCTTCTCAAGACCAAAGCTCACCCCACCAATGCGACCTTTTTAATGGCTGCGAGACCATATTTTACAGGTCAGGGCACATTCGATAATTCCACCGTCGCCGGGATCCTCGAATACGAAATCCCATCTGTTGCATCCTCATCAAACACTTCAATCAAAAATCTTACACTCCCAACCTCCCCCCATTCAATGGCACTTCTTTCGCCGCAAATTTCAGCAGCAAATTTCGAAGTTTGGCCAATGCTCAATACCCTGCCAATGTGCCACAAACAGTCCAAAAACATTTTTTCTTCACTGTAGGACTTGGAAGCAATCCATGCCAGAAAAACCAAACTTGTCAAGGGCCTAATGGAACAAAATTTGCAGCTTCTGTAAACAACATTTCCTTTGTTTTGCCCACAACAGCACTCCTCCAAACCCACTTCTTTGGCCAATCCAATGGCGTTTATACTACCGATTTTCCGAGCTTTCCTGTCGTTGCTTTCAATTATACGGGCACGCCTCCAAACAACACCATGGTGGCCAACGGCACCAAGGTGGTGGTGCTACCATTTAACACCACCGTGGAGCTAGTGCTGCAGGATACCAGCATTCTTGGTGCCGAAAGCCACCCTCTCCATCTTCATGGCTATAACTTCTTTGTTGTGGGCCAAGGGTTTGGAAACTTTGATTCTAAAAAGGACCCCACAAGATTTAACCTTGTGGACCCCGTTGAAAGAAACACTGTTGGTGTGCCGTCCGGTGGATGGGTGGCCATTCGGTTCAGCGCTGACAACCCAGGTGAGTATTGCTTAGTTTCTAAATATGTACCTTATGACTAATAACAGATCCAATGAGAATTTATGGTTTTAAGAATAATGCTTGGTAAGGTACCCAATTTTGATGGGAAACCCATCTACTTTAAAGTGTCATCCGACAAACATATATAACCATTTACTTTAATTGGTGTTGGATTGAACGGTTTTCAATTGTTGAAAGATTAACCCATGACCTGACCATGAGCTTAATATCAAATGTTTGAGCCTGGTGACTCAATAGTTAAACAAGTTGTGTTGGGATTGATCTTGATGGACATGAATATGGTTGACAAGACTCGACATGATCTGATTGTTGTCCCGTACATATGCATACAAACGTCCATAGCCATTGCAACTATACATTGTTTTTGTAGATTGATTGTTGAATTAATGATGTCTACAAACAGGTGTTTGGTTCATGCACTGCCACTTTGAAGTTCATCTGAGCTGGGGGTTGAAGATGGCTTGGATAGTCATGGACGGGAAGCTCCCCAATCAGAAGCTGCCTCCTCCACCATCCGATCTTCCCAAGTGTTGACCGTTGATTTTGCCTCATCCGCTAGAATGTCTGTCGTGCTGTGACTTCCTTGTTTAACTTATTTGATTTTTTTTTTCTAGAATTTGTTTGAGAAGATAAAAAAGAAATTTCCAGGCCAACATTGGCATGGAGGCTTGCTTTGTATTGTCTTTGTATAATAGCCTGAAAGAATCCTCCAGTGGAATGAGAAAGGCAATAATGGTAGAGGAAATTTTGTAATATTTGGACTTGTAATGCTTCTATTAGGAGTCTCAATAATAATGATCATAATAAAAATTTGTTCAGTGATAATCGATCTCATTGAATCACAAATTAATTCGATTTAAAGTGTCTCCAATTTTAATTCAAATTTTTACTTACTATAGGCTAGGAGTTGCTCACTTTCTTCTTACTCTTAGACCGTTCCTCTTCTCAAAATGGTTTGTTAAATCATAATCGATCTCATTAAATCACTATTTAATCCTATTTAGAGCATTTTTAATCTTCAGTCAAATTTAATCCTGATCCCCAATTCTCTGTTTTTTTTCTCAAAAGGGTCAGAATATGTATTTCCAATGCAGATCCAGTTATTAAATATATCTTCTCATGACTTATAGTTCCAACAGCAGAAAGGAATATCTACCTCTCTCTCTCTCTCTTCCTCAAGACAAATGCTGACATAGAACAGAACTGGAGGAGACACAGGATGTAAGACAAGTAGTGATTCAAACTTCAAACATACTATTAGAGGTAGAAGTTTCAGACACCGAGATCAATTCGAAATCTATCTGATCCGTTACATGGATGTCTTCTCACAATGGGTAACTCATCATGACCCTCATGGAAGTCTCAATTGAATCCAAATCTAATTTCTGTTTAAAAGAAAAAACAAGAAAAATTCCCTTCTTCTATATCGGATGATGGTACAAAAATTTATACAGGTTTCAAACGAACCCAAGTTCCATCTCACAAGTAGAAGGGAGATACAAAGAGGGTAAGAGAAGAAGATCCTCCAATCCCATTCAGAAGCTAAGTTGGTAATAGTTCTTGAACACCCAATTACTTCAAGAATCGCCATTTTTGTTCCAGGAAACAAGCATGGTGATGCAACTCTTGACGATGTAAAACTTGGCCCTCTGTTCTTTGGCCAAGCTACTACACTTTCTGGTGAAATCTGAGCACTTCTTTGAAGAACTCCTTGACAGAGGAGATTTGGAAGCAGAGCTCTTTTGAGAAGAACACCTGGAGAGAGGGGACTTGAAAGAAGAGCATTTCTGGAAAGAACTCTTCAGAAGAGAAGACTTTGATGTAGAACTCTTATGAGATATGCTCCTGATGAGAGATGATTTGAACGAATTATAAGGATTGCTACATGGTTCTTCCTGTGATAGTTTCCGTTTCTCATCCATGTAGTATTCCATAACCACTTGATAGAGTTTTCTGCCTGTGTGTGTGTGAGAGAGCGAGAGAGAGAGAGAGCGAGAGTTAGAGTGAATAATGATGGGAGAGTGGGAAGAGGTTGAGGTGCTGGTGACTAACTTATAGCAATTTAAAGAAATGGTCGGAGGGGAATGCAAGTGGGGTGTTGGTGAGTGTTTCTTCAGTTTTGGTAGCACCTCATGTCCTTGCCTAACTTGTCTCGGCTCTTGTCTAGTTGCCTGATTTATAACTGCAATAGTAATAATTGGGATATATTATATAAATTTTAAAATTTTATTTAATTTGCTTTGCTTAATGATAACTCAATTTGCATGATATAATAATATTATTATAACTAAACTATTGTTTTTCTCCATTAGGACTTAAACAAAATCTTTTATTAAAAGTTTGAGTCACAAAAACAATATCTTTTATTCTTCCCAAATCTAGTAATGAAGGAAATTTATATACTGAATTGTTTTTTTTATTTTAGATTTTTAGTTCAAGAAGTATTAGCTTGTTTTGGAGGTGTGGAAAGAGGAAGGGATTGGTTTGGAAAGGGGTAAGGTTGGTCATGTTTGAAGTGATTGCCTTACCACTCTTCCTGGTTCTTGAACCAACATTTGGAGACCCATCATCCCTTTGGAGATGTGGCTCATGTATGGTGCTCCATACCACAATATTATTTTAAATTCTTTTTATATAATACATCTAGAAATCATGTAATTACTGAAAATTGTATGTATTTAACTTGTTTTAATGGTGAAAGGGCAAAGGCCAAACAACCCATGGACTGGAATATAAAATGTTTCGAGTCAACTTCGGCCTTGGATCGGGTCAACCTATTTGAAGAAAGGATGACATGCGGTGTGTCTAACAGGTTGTTCGTAATGGATCTTTAAAGTATTATTCATTGGGTTCAGACTTATTGGGTCTTTAAACGGGTCATAGTTGTGCTCAACTCTTTTGTTGGTGGGCCTTAAACATATCAATTTATCGGGCTAACAGGTGAAAGAAAATGACCCGCGAACTTACCCGCTAGACTAAAGGGTTGTTCACTTGGCAACCCGACCTTTCGTGCAATGGATCTTTGAGTTTTTGGAATGGGAAATGTTATTTGCTCTTTTGGAACAGTTTATTAGAGATCTTGAATTTGAGTCTCTTTATTGGATTCAATATGAGGATTTATTTCAATCGATGATGTCAGGTGAAGATGAGTGAGTATGTATGAAAAAATTAGTTGGATATTCTAAGACATCCAAGTATTCTCTACTAAGTATTATCACACAACTGCAACTATATTAAATTGGTCAAACAAAGGGGGTAGATGGGTCAAATTTAAATTTTTGCTGTCACATGGTATGTATGCACTACAACTGCATGGTTTATTCAGTGTAGTTTGAATCTTTATGCCCTTTGTGCTTTTTTTTTTTTGGCGGATTTTGCAACTCATGTGGCTTGAGAATATAAGCATTATTGCAATGCCCACATGCTTGCATGTGAACTACGTACACTAAGGAAATTAAGATGGTTCAGACCCCGTACACCTTCATAGTCCCTCTCCTCACAACAATTACGAGTCAAACCCACTTAATTCCGATAATTAGTTTCACACCACCATCTTTCTATACCATCATGTTTTTAATATCGTATGAAGTGGCACAACCTCACTTAATAGAGTTTGTTTGACGTAATGAAACTCACTCACCTACTAGTCAAAATTGATGTGATACAAAAGTCATATAGATCTATGCAGAAAATATCAGCAAAAATTTTTATTTAACGTAAACTTATGTACAGAACACACCTACGGTAGTAGTGGTGGACAGTAAAAGATAGAGATTTATACAAGAGAGAAAGATTCAGAGAGGGTGCAAGAGAAAGGGGGAGAAAGTGAGAGTACGGAGAGTAGTGGATATGAAATGCGGTGCTTCATAGGTTGGGACCGCATTTCTTTTTATAATATGCAGACTTGAAATCTGGATTTCAATCTAACCTATACTATTCACAACTTTTTACTATTCATAACTTTAATAATTTATATTGACCTCATTACATACGCCAGCAATACTGTACAAGTACAATAATTTTATGATGACATCATGGCGTTCGTCACCCCTTCAAGGTCGGCTTTGTCCGAGACTTCAATTTTATCTGATTATTTCTTGTAAAGCAAATTATACAACATATTACCGCTGTCATCATTGAGGTTTATCTTCATATCGTCATTTAGTAAATTTTTATGAATAGAAGTGTCACCTTTAAGAGGAGTGTATCCTTGAAAATTCATAAAGTCATCATCAGAGGCAATAGGAATGGGGGTTTTCTTATTGTCTTCCTCAACTTTATCTTTTCCTTTGTCTTTTAATGCAACTGTAAGAGTGTTAGCGAGGTCCATCTTCTCGGTTTTGCGCATTCCAAATGTCAATATCACCTGAAGACGTCACTTCTCCATAACTACTGCTTTAAGCTGCTTAGTATTTAAATAGAGTTTTTCTTTTTTAATTTGTTCTTTAAGAACTTCAACAGGATTAAAATTAGATCCATTATTTATACTGGTAGTGAGAATTATAGTCGTAGAGGTTGAAACTTTTTCTTCCTCTTTTCCCATGTCTTTAAGACATTTAGTTATGGCTTGACATTTAGATTGAAATGGATATTTATTCCAAAAAGGGACATGATATTCACTGATTAATCTGGGATGTCCGTTTTGATTAAAATCACAAGCCAAAGTTCACACTCAAATCCATGGAATAAACAATTCAAGTGAGAAATTAATAATTGGCTTTGTTGCTATATCATTATCCTTTAAGGATGGACATTTGTCTTTATACAAGTCAAATAATTTTTTCCTAAGTTCGTAGGGATTTATCCTTCAAATTAAATTATACTCCATATGTGGAGACAATGTTAAAACTGTAGGAATTATAATGAGAGTTTTATCTCTGGTAATTAAAAGTGTCTTTATTGTCATCTTTATATGACGATTTTTCCTTTTAATTATCAACAACTTTAAGCTAATTAGAAAGATAATAAGTATCTTTAAACTGTTCAGGGAGATAGTAAACATCTTTATATGCATTAGGTTCATAATAAACATCTTTATCAAGTTCATCAGAATAATATGCATGTTTATATGCATAGATGAGGATTCATACCAGAATACCTCCAATCTTTTCTTTTATAAGATGGATAAAATCATTTGGGACTATATTCTCTAGCCAATATTTTGTTCTCTAGTCAAAATACCATTCATTGATTTCAAGAAGGAGACGAAAATTAGAAGAGTTTCTTTTCGCTCTTTCTATTCTTAATAAGAAAATAGAGACATCATCAATTAATTGGTCTTCCATAGCGTTCCAGTAGAGACACCAAAGTGAAACCCTCCAAAAATTAAGATGCCAACTGGAAGCAAAGCTAAAAATATCTTCACCTGCATAAGTACAGATACAATCAAGAAGCTTTTGAGATTTGACAATAAAGACCAAAGAAAATGAATCTTTATTAGGATTCATCTTTGCAACTTCTTGCTTGTAAGCTGCAATAAAACTCTTAGGAGGGTTAGAATTAAAATAATTTTCTTTTATGTGATTTATTACTAGCATTTTTTCTAAAGACAAAGTATTTATACTTAATCCATTCATATCCAAAATGACTTTATAATAATTA